AAACACTCATTGGTATTCAGGGAAATAGACACGAGAGTAGATAAATGGAATTCTACCTCATATATGAAAAAGGCGAACTACTGTGAGATTATTGTTCCGATTGCTTTGAATTGTAAAAATCAGATTTTACTTCAGGAATGTAAAAACCCAGGAAATAGAAAATTACCAGCAACATTGATGTTCTCAACAATGTAAAGAACATTATCCTCGTTGATCTCACCCTTCTGTTGAGCTTCAAGAATGTGATCGATCGCGCACTTTAAGCTGTCGTTGTCTGCTGGCTTCGTACTCCCGAGCTTCCTGTACAAACAGTAAAGTGCATATTAATTTCTTTTCCCTCTCCACCCCTATATTCCTGTAAAATTGCTTAACTTGCCACTCCATTTGGTCTAGATTGTCTTTAAGTGAAATCTCTAAAGGAAACAGATTAATGTGACATGAGTAGTAGTGAAATTTTCCACTTTGTCACAATCAGTTTACAATGATTTTTCCTGACAAAAATTAAGACTAGGTGGGGTTCAATCTTCAATCCACCTTCTTTTGTGTGTGTGTGTGTGCTATTCATGATCATCAATCAATTCATTATATATATACTCCCTCGATATGAAATCATGTACACATAAAATTGAAAGGAAAATAACCTTTTTTTTAGTTGACTATCACCATCACTCACAAAACAAACAATTATTCAATATAGGTATTTTAATTCGCAAATCCGAGCTGTGCACACTGCACAATCTCACCACCTAACAACCCCACAAGCAAAACACTCCAAATTTTCTAACAAACATTAGCAATGACAAGACAATAACTTAAACACTACTTATAAATTACAATTAGCATAAATTCTATTGAGCTGGCGATGAATCCTTTATAAATCCATCAACAAAATCGATGTATTGAGTTAGAATACGAATCCATACACCATTTAAGAATAATTTTGGATGACTCCATAAGTCGTCATTCAATAATTCCATTAATCCATTTAATTTAAACAAGGCATATTCCAACTTTCAAATCTGTGTATAAGGACATTAATCAGCCTTATGTACCATTCCTAAATCTATGTGATCTTCAATGTATATACAAAACTCAAGAAAGGATCCTAGACATAAATTCCTCAAGCACAGAAGTTCAACACATTGAGACTACATCAAATCCAACAGCAACTATAAAATTTTGTATGGTTCAATATCTATATGTCTATATCCCTTTCCATTTGTCAAATACATCTCTGTATAATCAATTTCAACTCAAAAGACAGCATAATCTGAACTCTAAACTCTAAAGGACAAATTATGCTCATAAGAATTTAATTTCACCAAAATCATGCTAAGTAAAAGAATTTAACATTACCAAAACCAAGCTAAGTAGTAAAAATTAACTTACTTTCTCTCATCAACAAAATAGTCCTTGAACAGCTGCAGCCTCCTCTCCTTCACCTCCTTGCAGATCTTCAGATATCCCCTCAAAAACGGCCTCAAAATCGGGATAAAATCACCATAGTTGTACTCAAAGCTCTGCGCCAATCGGCTCCTCTCACCATTCAGTGCCTTGAGCTTCCCAAACAGTGGATCGTCCTCGCTCTCGAACCTCCGATCGAACATGATCCGGTACATGTTGTTGTACATCATCAGCTGCAGCCGCCGCCTCAGCACGATCCCCTCCGTCGCCGCCGCCGGATTCTTCCTGACGTCCTCCACCACGGCGGCGGCCTCCGCCTCCCACCCTCCGCGGTACTGCTGGACGACCTTGTTAGTGAAGAAAGGGACGGTCATGATGCGGCGCATCTTGCGCCAGTGCTCGCCGTACACCGTGAACACCATGTCCTGCCCCTTGCCGGTGAAGATGTCGAACACGACGTTGCGGGTGCGGGAGCCGAACTCGACGCCCTGGGTGTGGAGCACGTCCTTGGCGAGATCCGGAGAGGAGACCACCACCAGGTTGCGCTGCCCCATGCGGAGGAGGAATATCTCGCCGAATTTGCGGGCGTAGTCGGTGAGGTTCCTGTGGTTGAGGTCGTCGCCGACCTGGAGCCAGTTTCCGAAGATCGGGACGGGTATCGGCCCAGGAGGGAGCCTGAATTTCTTGCCGCGGAGCTTGGAGACGACAGCAGCGACGATTATGGCGAAGAAGAGCCCTAGGAGGGTCTTCTCGAGAAGGATAAGATCCATAGTGGGGGAAGGGGTTTTTACAATCAGTTGCTTAAATTATTTTCAATTTTCTTTTCTGGATTTTTTTTTCGCGGCGGGGGTATCGGTGGTTGTGCGGCGGAGGACGGTGGTTGGAGGTGAAGGGGTTTTGAAGGGGATTTATAATTTGAGTAGGGGGTGTTAGGTGGCGGGTGTGGGTCCCAGTAGGGGTTCAGTTGGGATTTAACGGCGTTAGTTTTGACGGAGGGAGGTGGCTTTTGCTTTGGGCGGGGTAGGTAAGGGAGGTTTGGTGAGAGCCACACAAGTCAACTAACTTTTAGGATTGGTGGTGAATGTGATGCAAATGTGCTAAATAAATAGTTACAGTGTTATTTGACAATTAGCTGATAATTAATTGCTATAGTGAGTTTTATATATATAGATTTGACTAGTTAAATATTCATTTAGTAAATAGTAAAAAAAATTAATTATTATTTTGCATTGTCTTTCATTGAACCCTATATTTTAATCCGTTATTCTTTCAAACTTTTTTCAGAATTAGCGTTTTGAGCATAAAAAAACTAATCAACTAAGATCATTACCAAATAAGTTAAATTTGTGAATTCAACTGGTAAAACATCTAAATAGTGCTTAATCCATAGTTACATTGATCCGTTGATTAACAAACGAGTCCATACGTCTTTTAATTTAACATAATCACAAATTTTGAGTATGATATTCGAACAAATAGATAGATCTTCCCTTAACAATACTTATAGAATAATATAGTTACAAATTTTTACGTGAAACAATCTAAATGTTAGACTAATCGACCGATTGTACCCTTTGAATAAAAATATATATCTATACAATGAATATGTCATATTTATATTTATGTTGTTTTTCAAAGTATGATATTCTATAAGAATATTCACATTTTCAGACTCACTAGGTTGATTTAACAAAATATGGACGATATTATGATAAATGGATGCTGATGTAAGTGTTTGAATTGTGTATAACTATATATTAACTATATTTTGTTTTGTTTAGTGACTAGTGACATTAATTAGTTGATTAAACCAATTTGCTAATAATAAAGGCAACTAAGAAAATCGTTAAGTGTATTGAATCTTGTAGTGTTGTTTTTGCTTGAGCTCATCGAATGAATTGTTCCAACTTATTGTGAGTGTGACACTAAAATAACAATTGGTGATTTTAATTGGGACATTTCTCGTGTTTATTTTTTGTTTAACATGTTGTAGTCTAACTTAACTGTAATAAAGGTAAATCTTCATTGGATATAACATTTTTTAATGATAATACTGTTGAAAATTGAAATAATGTATAAATAAAACTAATATTTGATGATGTGCACAATTCAAAATTATAAATTGCACCTTATAAATATCTATGTACATTAAAATACTATTCATGTTTATTAAAAAAACATAATTTTATGATATACTATTTTATAAATAAAAATAAATAAATATAATAGTCAAGTATCATAATTTATATTGTAATACTTGGTAATCATGAAAATATATAATATATCTAAATATTTGAATGGATACTAATTAACTCATTATATTGTTGAAAATTGAATTAAAGAATTAAATGTACACAAAAAATATAAAAATAAAAATAAATATTTAACCATGGATAATTTATGTTGCACAAATAAAGTTACTAAAAAATTAAAATTTAATTATCAAATATTTAACATTTCATGCACTTAGAATTATAATAAACAAAGATAAATATTATGGATTAACGTTGGTCAATTATCGAGCAAGGTGCATAATATAATTGTTAAAAAAATTATAAGACTAAGATAATCGATAATTTTATGAGTACGTATAAGTAACTTGTATGCAAATATCATATGATCTTATACATATGTGATTATAAATAACAAAATTTATATATTAAATAGTCAAGATCTGTAAAAAAATTGAAAATTTGGAAAAATATAATAAGAGTAAATAAATTTTTTTTCATATTATCACTGAATTGGATACTGTGTTGAATAGAATTGCATATTGTCTTAAATAAATTAATAATATTTACATAATATGATATTTTTTATAGTATGTTCCGCACATGACATGGGTATCAACGCTACTGAAATTGCAATTACTAATACTTTGTACACAAGGTACGATAGAGATTATTGTGATAGGCAAGTTCGACTTTACTGGTGAGGACAGTAGATCAAAATTATTGTTATAGGACAAGTTCGACCTGCGAGTTTTTTACCATTGAATTATCCACACATACAATGCTATGAGGACACAACAAAATTAACGCAAAGCTCGTGTTATATTGTCTAACAAATTTTTAACCATATTTCTTTTTTAAAAAAAAAAAATCATACTTGTACTACTAAACTAGCGCGTAGCCCGTGTGATGCACGGGATGGTATATTTTCCTGAAATGTTTAACGTGTGAAATATTAAAAATAATATAATTTATATATATATAACAAAAATAAATAGATTGCAAAGAAGGGAAAAAAATATAAATTATTGAACACTTTCTTTGTGAAGTAAAATTTGTGAAGCTTTGATATATTTAATTATGAATAGAAAAGTATGAAATACTACCTGCGGAACGTTGAGATAGATGAGAAGATTTACTTAGAATATATAGAATAAATATTGAGATAATGATTTACCTTTTACCTAGTATATATAAAATTAATATTGACATGATGTGGGAAAATTATGACGAATTATGACATAAATTCGTTTAGAAGTTAGTAGAAAATATTAAAAAATTAGATTTATTTTTTATTTTTTAAATCCTTACAGTAATTCGTACGCTCCTTTTCATACGCTTAATTTATCAAGTTTACACATACAAATCAAAATTAATGCAACTCGAAATAATATATAACAAATAAAATGAGATTTTTTATCTAACATTTAGTATATTGCCGGAAAATCTTTTATAAATCTTATTCTCTTTTTATGCACATAGATATTAAAGAATGAGTAAAAAAATTATCTAAATATGTTTAAAAGTATCTAATATTATATGTGTTAACAATGTTACAACCAAAAGACATTAAGAATACGTAGACTATTATATAACATATGTGAAAGTATTAAAATAATTTATATTATTATCGAAAAATATGAAATTACCTCAATTCTGTCTAGACTATTTTATAAGAAAAATATATATACTTAAAGTTAGCATACACACACATATATATATCCTTAAAGTTTGCCCAACTAACATGTTTAAAAGTATATACAATTTTATATATAAAAAACACGTTTAAAGTTTACATATTTTACAAAAATTAGACTGCTCTCAGTTTATATAAAGTTTGTTGCTCTCATATTCGGATAACGTATTATGCATTTAATGAAAGCACCCTACGATACAAATTTATAAATATTAATTAAAATAATTTTCTAAATTATATAAAATTGAAATAACAAAGGTAAATATTACATGTTCATCATGAAACAGTATATGTACAGCTCTCCCGTTCGTGATGGTTAGAGCTTCGTGATGGTTACAGCTTTCCGGTTTCAATAATGCGGGGTGCTCTCAGACGCAAAAAAAAAGTTTGTTTCTTTTGTTAACGGAATCAAGCGTGATGGATTACAGCTCTCCCGTTCGTGATGGGTTTCAATAATGCGGGTGCTCTCAGACGCAAAAAAAGTTTGTTTCTTTGTTTCTTTTTTAACGGAATGAAGTGTAGCCCAGCCTGAAAGCATTATATTGTATATGCGATGAAAAATTATTCTCTGTATTTTTTTAATGATGAGTTGTAATGGTGGTAGTGAATATCTTTTTATACAATTTTTTATTAACCAAAAGTGATAAGATAATTATGGATTGTATTTGGATAGATAGTAAGTCCCATGATTTTTGCAACGGACAATCAATTTCACATATTTTTTATTAACCAAAAGTGATAAGATACTTATGTATTGTATTTGGATAGATAGTAAGTCCCATGATTTTTGCAACGGACAATCAATTTCACATGCTTAATTAACGGAAATATCACCATTATTAAGGAGAATATCCATTTGCTTAACAGATTTCGTAACAGATTTGCTTAATTAATGGGTTCGTAACACATTTGCCGGACAATCAATTTTACATGCTTAATTAACGGAAATATCACCATTATTTAAGGAGAATATCCATTTGCTTAACAGATTTCGTAACAGATTTGCTTAATTAATGGGTTCGTAACAGATTTGCTTAATTAATGGGATTATCTGATCCGATACTTTAATTAACGGGAATACCAATTACATAATCCTATTCACGATTTTATTTTCAAAATTTGATTGAGATTACATAAATAGAAAGTCAAAAGTCAACTCAATTTATTTTATATTTCTAAAAATGATTTTTACATCAACCTTTTTAGATATATATTGATATAATTAAAGTTTTATAGATATTATTGTTAAATTATGATTTTTGAATATAAAGGTAAATAGCATAATTATTATTACAATTACAATACTTGGTGTATTTTTTTTACTTTTTTATTTTTTTAAAGAAAAGTAATATAGTATGCCGTTTAAAGTAATATAGCTAGGCCAGTGTTGCAGTGGTAGCCCCCCTTTTTTTGCAATGCTTACTCGTCAGGATTGGGTAAGCCCAAAGTTGTTTCAGTATTTTCCGGGTTCTAAGCCTTGTCTTAGTCGGAACAAACTTAGACAACTTTGTTTATTTCCTATTATTATTTAGGGCACCTGTTTAGTGTGTACCTCCATTCTCCCGTGTGGGATGATTGTATGGCTTCTTAGCCAATCCTATATGTAAATTTTTCGAGCAATAGAATCTATCGTTTCNTATTACTTCACCATACGGACAACATGGATATTAAATTAAGGATTATAATTATCCTCTTTACAAAGTCAAACTACTCGTGGAATAGTACAGTTTGGTAGGTTTTATTAGTGATTATTGGTTAGTAGGGAAATTGTTAGTTGTGACTTTAATTAATAAATCATAAAGGCTTCGTAAGATTCATGAACTCATTAGCAATTTGTATTACTATATTAATGAATCATAAACGATTTATGATTCATGAATTCATTAACAATTTATATTAGTTTGACGAAAACAAATATAATATTTGGTTTCACAATATAAAGGGAATATAGTATTATTTATTCAATTTATTGAAAAACAATTTCACAAAATATGAATAAATGAACGTTTAGGCTTCTATTTTACAATTTGATTGATAGGTCCTCTGTTACATTATCTAATGGTTAGACAAACTAACAAAAACATGTATTTTTCGATTTATTGTTATTTTCTAACCACCATCCATTTACAGATATTAAAAGGTGTATATATATATGTAACACATGAAGAATAAACAAAATTGAAACTTAAACTCAAATTTACTCTATATATAGAAGCTAAGTTGCTAGACACATGTTTTGAAATAAGTAGACATACAATTATTTTCTGTTGACATTTATTGCAATTTTTTCAATGGCAATTGGCAACTTCAAGCTAATCATGTATTTTTTTTAAATATTATATTGTATATTTAATATGCATATATACACAAATTTAATATTTTTATATGCAACTAGTTTGTAAAAGCATAACCATGTATTCTATATTGCAATTTGATTATGGTAAGTGGGTTTTTGTTTGACCCGGAAATTGGATGTTTGAATTACAAATATTTCTGATGTTTTGGGACAATTGAGAAGGGGTATGTGGCTAGTTATTGTGTTTTTTTCACCTACTACAACATAAACTCATATTTTCAATAAAAGCACACAAGAAAAATGGGGGGAAAAAAATAAAATAAAATAGTGGAGCACAAATATCATAATTTTTTTATCACCTTAATAATGATTCAACACAAATAAATAATCTCATGTTCCTAATCTTCGAATTAACAATGCCTCATAAGCTACAAATTGAACACTAATAAAGGAGCAATTTTCAGCATAATTTTTCGATCCAGAACCGAGAATGAGTTGAGATCGAGTACCTCAAGCTTGAACTCAAACCGAATTCGAACATGTATGTAAATGTAATTTGCATCAATATCCTTTAACACGAGCTAAATTTGAGTCAAACTTAAGTCAAAATTGAAAAAAATATATTATTATCTGAATATTGTTCTATTTTATTTCTTTTTTCTTTAAATTCAATTCAAACTCCAATGAAATTCGAGTTGATAAAGTTCGAGTCAATCTCAAACATTTGTACACTTTCGTCGAGCTCGAGCAACAACGAAAAAAAAATAAATCCTAGTTCAATAAGGCTAATAATGCTCGGCTTGGTGGTGAGAGCCACACACGAGTCAACTAACTTTTAGGATTGGTGGTGACTGTGAGATGCAAATGAGCTAAATAGTTATCCTGTTATTTGACAATTAGCTGATAATTAATTTCTATAGTGAATTTTATTATTCGATTTGACTAGTGAACTTAGTTGAATATGCATTTAGTGAATAGAAAAAAAATAATAATAATAATAATTGTTATGTTGCATTGTCTTTCACTGAATCCTATATTCTAAATCGTTGTTATTTCGAACTTTTTCAGAATTAGCGTATAAGTATAAAAGAAACTAATCAACTAAGATCATTACCAAACAAGTTAAATTAGTGAATTCAATCGGTCAAACATTTAAATAGTGCTTAATCCATAGTCTAATATCGATCCGCTTATAAACAAACTAGTACGAATCCCGTGCGATGCACGGGTAAGAGATATTCATTAGTATTTATAAATTAAAAATGATTATTAGATAATATTTATAAATTAAAAATATTGAATCAATATGTAATACGTTTACCTATATTAATTTATGGAAAATATTATATAAATTTCATATCGTGCAAAATTACATAAAATATGTCAATTTAATTAGTATACAAGCTGGTGCACGTAACTGATAATAAATTACATTATATTTATTTCAAAATAAGTATCATTTTAAAATATTTATTCAAAAATTCGATTGGACTACAATGTGATTCCATAAAATAATTCTTTTGGTAAAATTTTATCATATATTTAAAAATCTATGTGAATAATAAGTACAATTATAAAACTTATAGTGTTCATTAATTAAAATGAATTTAATTTTGTATAAACTATCAGAATAAAAAAATTTAAGTTGTTGAGTAATTTATTAAACGATAATTAATTGACTATTTCATTTATGCCTAAGTTAATATTGACACGTAAGTTATGAATAATTATTTATTTGACTTTTAAATTTGAAACCCAAATTTGAACTATACGATAAATTTCCTTATATATATATTCCCTTATATATAAATTCCCTTATATACATATTATCTCACAATTTTCTAGAGTTGTTGTCGGTTAATTTTTAAATTTTATTAACCAATATTTGTTCAAAGATGTTTATAATTTTCAAGAGGAATACATACCATTTTGTCAAATTATCATTAGAATTTTTTGGCAAGTTATTATAGAAATATGCTAAATTTTGAGAAACATATTACCTTGATTTTATAACAAATCAACCTAAAATTCGACTTTCATACCCATAAAAAAAAAATCATTTTTCAATATCTTTTTGTTCGAAAAGATACATTTATCCTTTAAAAGAGTTGGATTGCGTAGAGTTTTCATGGTGTTTTGCTTGATGAGTCTCATGATTTCTTATCAATACAGAATATCTATTTGTTCTTTATGTTTTGCTTGATTTTTTGATGAGTGGAGATACAATAACAACTCAGAGTGTGTATGTTATTTATAGGCAAATTAAGTGTTAATTTAATAGGTGAAAAAAAAATATCTCGATATTAGATGATTGGAGCGTTAGAATGATATTATCTAAATATTTGAAATGATATTCGCGTACATTATTAAAATTTGGAATGATTTGATATTTGTCATCAAATTAAACAAAAATTATATTTGGTAATATCTCTTTATTTTAGTATAAAAAAATAAATGGGCTCACTTATGCTTTTTTTTTCCTAGGGTTGCGATATTAATACATAAGCTTAGCCATTTCAAAATATTTTTAGATTAATAGTTTAGTTATCCACAAATTTATCAAATAAGTGTTTGGTGAAGATTTATCAAAATCTTTTTAGATTAGTAGTTAGTTATCCACAGATTCCATCATGAGTTATCCACAAATTATTGTTCCAATATTATCTCTACACCATTAATTTTGAATTCAAATTGTGAGTAAAAAAAAAACTACACTATTATTGTTTTCAAGCTTTCTATAAATAGAATGTCAAAGGTATTATTTATTTGGTCAAAAATTTCTAAAAATGATTTAACCAACAACCTTTTTATATATAGATAGATAAGTCCATACTTCTTTTAATTTAACATAATCACAAATTTTGAGTAAGTTATTCGAATACATAGATGGATCTTCCCTTTATGATATTTACACGATAATATGATTATAAATTTTTATGTGAGACAATTTAAAAGTTAGACTAATCGACCAATTGTACTATTTGAACAAATTAAAAGTATATATATACAATGAAATATCATACTTATGTTTATGTTGTTTTCAAAGTATGATATTTTCATATAATAATATACATATTTTCAAACTCTTTAGGTTGATTTAACACAATGCGGACGATAGTGTAATATATGGATGATGATGTAAGTGTTTGAATTGTGTGCAACTATTTGTTTTGTTTAGTGACTAGTGACACTAATTAGTTGATTAAATCAATTTGCAAATAATAAAGGTAACTAAGAAAATTCGTCAAGTGTGTATTGAGTCTTGTAGTGTTTTTTGCTTGAGCTGATCAAATGAATTGTTCCGACTTTTTGGGGATGATCGTTAATCGTTATGTGACGTTAAAATATGATATTGGTGATTTTATTTCGGACATTTCTTGTGTTTATTTTTTATTTTAACATAATGTAGTCAACTTTACCATTAAATATAACATAAAAAAAAAANTTTTTTTTTTTTTGTCCAAACGATAGAGATAATATTAGTATGATACTGTTCAAAATTAAATAATATATTTATAAAGCTAATATTTGATGATGTGCACAATTTATAATTATACATTTCACCTTTTTAATATCTACGTACATTTAGAAACTATTCATATTTATATTAAAAAACATAATTTTTATTATATACTATTTTATAAATGAAAATAAATAAATAAAATAGTCAAGTATCATAATTTAAATTACAGCACTTGGAAATCATGGAAATATATAATATATCTAAATATTCGAATGGATACTAATTAACTCATTACATTGACTGAAAAATGAATTAATGAACTAAATGCAAAAAAAAATATTTAATCACGAAAAAATCATGTTACGCAAGGATTAAAGTCACTAAAAATTAAAATTTAATTATCAAATATTTAACATTTTATGCACTTAGAATTATAATAAACAAAGATAAATGTTATGGATTAAACATTGGTCAATTATTGAGCAAAATGTGCATCTTGTGAATTGTTACAAAAATTATAAGACTAAGATAATCGACAATTTTATAAGTATGTGTAAGTAACTTGCATGCAAACATAATATGATCTTATACATTTGTATTATTTTATAAAATTATAAATAATAAAATTTATATGTTAAATAGTAAAGATCTGAAAAAAATGAAAAATGAAAAATATAATAAAAATAAATAAATAAATTTTATGTTATTATTGAATTGAATATTGTGTTGAATAGAATTGCATATTCTCTTAAATAATTTAATAATATCTAAATAATATAATATTTTTTTTATAATATACTCCGGGCATCGCACGAGTTTGCACACAAGCAACCTCACTCAATCTCTAGTAAGAAATCTAAGCAGCAAAAAAGTTTACAAACATTTGAAATACCCTCTAATGCTATAGTAGGCAGATTCACTACTGTTCTCATCATATTTTTTATAGTTTTCGTCGAATTTTTTATGATTGAACTATATGTAACCATACACTCACATGGGTGTGTCGATCCAACAGTAAAAAAACAGGTTGAAGGTACTTCCCTCATTGGTACGGTTGAAGTTATAATGATAGGGCAAATTTAAATCTACTGGTGAGGGCAATAAATCAATAATATTTTCATAGGACAAGTTCGACCCGCAAATTTTATCATTGAATTGCACACAAACATACCATGCTATGAGGACAACTAAATTAACACAAAGGCTCGTGTTATATTGCCTCAGTTTGTTCACAATATATTTTTTTTTTAAATTTAACAAACTAACTCTAACACCAATTGGGAAGGACACTAAGGTAAATTGTATGCCTCTTGAAACCCTACCCAACCTTTTCTCTCCCTTTTTACAAACCCCACCCAACCTACTACTCTCATTTCCTGAGCAGCGGCAGTGGGGAAGCAGCTGCGATGTCCTCCGCAGATCTGGCGGTACCGACACCTTCGCCGTAGGCGTCGACGGCTGCGACGGCGTCTTCAACGTCGGGTCACCACCGGGACCCGGCCCATCCTGCAGACGTGCGCCGACTCCAGAACCGTGCGTTGCGTGCTCTACATCTCCACCCTCGGCCCAGAGACCTTCAACGTGGAATTCTTCGGTTCCTCCGGCACGCCCGCCGCCGTGGACGAGAGCTCGTGGACCGACGTGGAGTTCCTGTGGTCACTGCGGATGTTTGTCGAGGCTTACGTGGCGACGAAGATGGCGACCAAGAAATTGATTCTGGAATTTGGGGAGAAAAATGGGTTGGATGTGGTGGCGGGGCAGCCATCGTGTGTTGTCGGGCCCTTCATCTGCCCACGCTGGCCTGATTTGATTCGAGTACTCTCCTCCTAGAAAATGAAGCCACCATAGAGTAGCAAAGAGAAGAAGCGGTCGATCGATGTAACTGACAAGAATTTGTCGTTAGAGAGATTCTCCAACGTGGGGCCTACAAGGTTGTCCGAGGAGTCGGTCTTGCTGAGATTGTCCCAGGAGATTAAGGATGCGCTGGCTACACTTCAACAGACGTTCACTGTCTCCAATGAGAGCAGCGGCTTCTTCACGATGACGGGTTACTCATCAAAGGAGGTTATGAGGAAGAAATGGTAAGGGGAGCTTGTAGTTTTTATTTTTTTTAGTTAGTTAGTTGCTCATTATTGATTTTTTCTTTTTGTCTGTATGGTATGTTGTTTCGTTTTTCTTGTTTTAGCCGTTTCTTGCAGGGGTCGGATACGGATTAGAAGGAGGTGGATAAAATATGAAGGCCATAAGGATTGGGATGAGTTTTTGTGTGAGGCTACTGAACTACAAGAAGCACGCCACGCCTTTCTCGAATCTGCTCAATATCACGCCCATCAAGGACTATAAAGGCAGAACCATTAAAATTATTGGGTAGAAGATAAAAGTTGTTCTTTTGTTTTTGCACCGGGTTTTATTTGGAGTAGTTAAACTTTCGAAGAGATGATAAAAATGGTTTCTTATGTTTACTTCATTTCAAGGCAAGGTTGACAGGCGGCTAGAAATTTAACAATTTGTATGGAGAAGTAGCTGAAACTTAAAATCATAAGTAGATACATTTCCTTTTTGTCTTTTTTCTTTTTGGCTTTAGTCGTGTGTTTCTACAATCTTGTTTGAGTTCTCCAAATTTAGTCTTGCTGTCTTCTTGCTTCTCTTAGTGCAATTTTCCTTTCCTTTTCCTTTGATGTCGTCCTCAAAGTTCTTCATGTAGGTGTTCAGTAAAATCAAGATTTTACATTATAAATTGCCGAGATGCATTATTTTGCTTTTAGGCAGTGATTTCATCATGATGCACACCTTTTTGGGTCTTCGTTTTATGTCAGGATGCAAAATCTCTCTTAATATGACACATGCCATGTTTCTTGGCAGACTGCAGGTTGAAGTCAGCAAGTACACAGAATGAGTGAACGATAAGGCAGTGAGGCCAAAAGGATTGCACAAGTCAATGATATGATGGTAAAGTTTTTTTCAGAGCTTCTTGATGAAATAAAAAACAAATATTTTCCTTCAGGAATTTTACCTTGATCACTTTTGCTTCAGCTCGTCAGAAGAAAGAGGCAGTTTCCATCACAGAGGATGTACAAACCTTTAAGGATCCTAAGTCTTATATAGGGTCCCATAGTCATGATACCATGTCAAAAACTGAATACGAGAAGATAAAACTGGATTACATGCTCTCTGGCCCAGCTTGAATGTGGTAGTAGCTTATCTCATTCAGGTTTTCATCATAACAAGCAACAACAGAAGAAAGTTCGGACTCGTGCCATTAGCGGGGTAAGCCTTATTTATTTTTTTGTTTCTTATTTTCCCCCTCTTTCTCGATTGTTTTCTCTTCCAATTCCATCATTTTTCCATTTAAAGACACGGTTCCCTTCAACAGTGATGTGTCTAGATTTTTAGATTTTTAAGGGCTATTTCTAACCTCAAATTAGTTATACGCTTGTCAAAGTTCTACTTGCCACTTGTGATTAGTAAAAAATTCATTAGTACTTTCATATGTTAATCAAATTTCCTTTATGGCAAATTCTTCATATTATCTGTAAAATGATAATATCCATGGAAATCGATGCATCTATTTGTTGATGATGAGTTTTAGTTAAATTTTATCAGTAAATGTTCGAGGTCTTCAAGCATTCAAAATGTTGATGAAAATCAACACACGATCGAGCCAGAGATAATGATCACCAAAGAAGTACAATGTTCGGACTGTTAGGAACGAGCCGAAAGAGAAAGGGATATACGACAAGGAATGGACCTGGCAACAATCTTAGAACGCATTGAGAAGAATTTTGTAATAATTTATCCACGACTCCCCGATAACCCTATTGTAAGAACAAAGAGTTTGTACATTTAGTCTTTTGTAGGTTCTAGAAAGTCGGAACAATGATGTTCAACTTGATCGAAGCGTGCGCTCTCACAAAAGAAAAGATTAACTGCAACATCGTCCTAGCAATCATTTTCGGTTGGACGTCGTCCTTTTTCCCCCAGTGTGTGTATGACATTTTCGAGGGTCGATTTGTTGACAATTATGTCAGTTATGGTACCATACCCGCCGCTGTTAACATAGATTGGTAATTGCCGTAGAACTTGACTTTATCCACGTCCTTTTTGAATGACAATTTGTCATCGAGTGTCACACGGTGTTGATTCCATCTTGCTACTTCGAGGGCCTTAAATGCTACAAGGTAGAGATCCAACATCATGGAAAAATGCTTGACTTTCTTTGTCAGCATAGCAACAACTACTTCCCGTAAGGTGGACTCATTCGGTAAAAGACTTATAGCAAATTTATCGGAGAGCTTCTCACGCCACTTCGCGTGGAAAGAGGTGAATACTTCTCGTATAAAAGTTCCAAAGTTGAGTAATTTTCGGATTAAGGCCATAGTATAAAAAAAGACTTGCAAAATTTTACTTCAGAGATTTTGATACTATGGACTTAATCCGAAAATTACTCAACTTTGAAACTTTTAGACGGGAAGTGTTCACCTCTTTCCACGCGGAGTGGCGTGAGGAGCTCTCCGATAAATTTGCGATAAGTCTTTTACCGAATGAGTCCACCTTACGGGAAGTAGTTGTTGCTATGCCGACAAAGGAATTCAAGTATTTTAACATGATGTTCAAGGTTGTGGATCTCTACCTTGTAGCATTTAAGCCTCTCGAAGTATTAAGGTGGAATCAGGTCCGTGTGGTATCCGATGACAAATTGCCATTCAAGAAGAAGGACGTGGATGAAATCAAGTTCTACGGCAATTACCAATTTATATTAACGGCGGTGAGGTATGGTACCATAGCTCACATAATTGTCAACAAACCGACTCTCGAAAATGCTATACACACTGCTGAAAAAAGCCGACGTCCAACCGAAAATGATTGCTAGGACGATCTTGTAGCTAATCTTTTTCTTTAGTGAGAGCGCACGCTTTGATCAAGTTGAACAACATTGTTCCGACTTTCTAGAACCTACAAAAGACCGAACTGCATTAATGAGTGCCAAATTAATAGAATCAGAGCAAACCCGGTTTGAAATAGAAAGAGGCGGTTTGATTCTTGGACCAAAGAATAAAATAAGTGTGAGCTGAAAGTTGAACATGAAAGGTAATACAGTTAATTATGGTATTGGCAGTATATTTTTCATATTATGCATGATATCCCTTTAATATAATTGGTGACATTCAGAGGGAGAAAGAAGCACTGACGAAGTATCTAAGGAAATTGAAGAACCAGTTGCGCACAAAAGAGCCCCCGAGCAGCGAGGAGGTTGAGGAGGCTCGAAAAGTGCTTATTGAGGTATTATTACTTTCGAAAAATACAGTCTTGTTCTGATTTCTTAGTGCTTCAATTGTTGCAATTATAAAGGAAGATTGGGAAAATTAAAACTGGATCTTTGTTCGAATTTTATTGAGAAACTAGTTGCGTATCTTGTATCTTTACTTGGTTTATGTGTTGGATAAACTTGTGGAACTAGCCTATTCATTTGTTTGAACTTATTGCATTTGTTTCACGACTCAGTGTCAACTTTGTCTGATGGTTACCTAAAAATCAGTTTCATTGATGAGAAGGCCTTTTTAAAACTGTATGTAGCAAGAGATTCTCATCTAGAGAGGTTGAGATTAAGGCCGTTGAACTCTGTTCCTTATGGCAAGAGAAGATGAAGAATGCTGAGTGGCACCCGTTCCGTGTGGTTGAGGATGAGAAGGGGAATGCCAAGGTTCATCTAAACACCTTTCCCTTAGTCGTTTGCTTGGTTACGTATCTCTCTCTTACATATAAGAAAAAGTATGAGCAGTATAGGGCGTGACACGTGTCCATTACTTTTAAAAGAATTGCCCCTGCAGTTGGCCTCTATTTATAGTTCTGCCCCTCAGCTTCACGTCTTATTTTATTTTTATTTTCATTTTTATTTTTTATGTTTTTTATAGCTAAACAGTATAGTTTTGAAGTTGCACGCCATTTGATGCGAATTGACTGAATTGTTTCGGCTTTTTCATCTTTCATACGGAATTCCCGCACACGCGAGGTTGGAGATTTGATGGGAGCAGTTAATTTCTTTCTCTAAACACACCCTACCAAACCTCTCATTTTCCAATTCTCACCGCCTAATTAAGGACCAACGGTTCATGGAAAATAGATCGAAAGCCAGAGGGAAATACATAGATTTTTTTTNATCGAAAGCCAGAGGGAAATACATTTTTTTTTTTTGCGCTCAGCCAGGATCAACAGAGAAAGGGCGGTGGCGACGCGTAGGCGGGTCCAGGTCACGTACGCAACGAACTACGACGGAGAGGAAGAGGGCGCTCATCGGCTAATTGTAGATGAGGCAGTCAACAATGGTAACTCCATCTTCTCTCTACACCCGAACACCATGGAAAACCTCCAGATTTTCCGTGAGAGACACTATTTTGATTAAGGTTAGGCAATTTATTTTCTTTTTCTTCAGAGTTTTTTTTTTCTTCTTTTGACTGGTTCATTTGTTCTAGCATTATGCGATGTCGTTTCAGTTTCAGCTTTATATGATTTAGTGCATGTAATTTCAACAACAACAAAGGGAACAACTGAAGATTCTGAGTCATGTCAATTTACAAAAATAATGAACTTCTTGCAGCAGAGTATTGTGAACATGCTATCCAAACATGTGTGGCCTGTGAGTTCCAATTTCTGATTATTTATGTAGAAATTTAAAAAACTTGGTGAAATAAGCAGTTGCTAAATTATCCGTTAATGTGGACAAATTGATTGATTATTACATATTGGGAATTTGCAGGATATGGAATTTGGCTGGAAAATGGAAAATAGTGGTTGGTACAGTGATTGGATTCTTTGGGGCAGCCGTTGAGAGTATAGGAGGTGTCGGTGGAGGCGCCATTTGCGTTCCCATGCTCCCTTTGATTATCGGGTTGACCGGAAATCTTCGATTGCAATATCTAAATGTGAGAGTCAATATTTTTTGCATTTGTGCTTTTGTATTAGACAATTTTCTGTATCTGCAAGATGAGAAATTGTGTATGTGAATAGTTTTGTGTTTTCAGATGTCGACTTTTGCTCTTGATTTTGCATATAATTCAATTAGGAATCCATACTATACAAAAGAATGCTTAAATTTCTAATAGTAGTCTTCAAATCACAAATAAGAGACTTATAATTTATTCATATTAGACTCTCTTTCGACTCATTTGCGTATCCAATTTCCTTTGGCTTTGAGCTTGTTTATAACATTGTGTTTCTAATACTCACACTCAGTCAGCAAAAGTGGGTAAACCCTATGCGAGAGAAGTTGTTGGGCTTGTGGTTGATATGATTCGCCAAAAGAAGATGGCTGCCGTGCTTTATTATTCGTTGTCCCACCTGTACATGGAAAAACTGCTCTTGCTCTTGGAATTTTGCAAGAACTCGGCAGCAAGGTAATACTATCAGCAAAATCCAGACTTTTTTGAAAGTGAATTATGAGAAGAAGTTAGTTTTAAAATTCATGGTATTGATAATGAATTATGAGAATAAGTTGATTTTAGAATTCACTGCACTTGTTGATAAGTCATGACATAATTGGGCTAAAAACTGTGAAAAGAAACCAAGTAACTGAAGTTGGATCCAACAATTTATGATGCCTTGATAAAGGAAAAGGTGAACTTTTTATATCAAGCATATTGATCCAACAATATTGTGATCCATTCCAACTACATTTTCCAGTGGCATCCGGCATGGCCGAATCCAACTACATATATGTGACCCACTTTGAATCCAAGAGATCTTGTCGTTCTCCATTGAGGTCCAGTCGGGTTCTTTTAGGTATGATCGTCATTTTTTTAATATTTTTGAGTGGTGGTGTATAAATATTTACTCCCATACATTTTTCCATGACTTTTGACTTGTGTCAATTACTAGCCAGATATTGTATTTTGTCAGAAAAATCTTCAAAGGTATGGCCTACGAATTGCTATTCAATTGTGTCTGCACCCACTCTAATATATGTCTTCCTTTCTTAATTGTTTACAGTTCATGAGTTTGTCTTTCTTCCACCATTTTCTTTCGTTTTGGTAAAATATGTGGTTTCTTACTTTTCATCTTAATTTTAACTAAATATTATAACTTTGGTATCTTGGGGAACATAATTTCGTCGACAGGTAGGGTTGTATCGGTTCTAGGATCTGATGAATGAGATGAATGAGGAGTATCAATTGATGTGGGTGGGAGGATAACCGGAAGACACAAATGGATGGCCCTACAGGCGAACGGCAGATACATGGTTAGGGTCAGAAGGAGCTGCTGAAGTCTGTTGATTGAGGGGAAAGAATCATTGTTGCGCCAGTAAAAGATCAATGCCAATTTGGTAAGCATTGTAATTCATTTTGTTGATCCTGACATGATATTATTCGGTATATGTGCAAATATTTTGTATGGATGATGGATGTACGTTAGATAAGATTCTTGCTTTTATCAAGGGTGGTTTGACTAGAGTCTTTGATTGTATAATTTAATTTGGATTTTTCAAAGGCAATGGCAAGTTTATTTTTTTCCCTAAAATATAGTTAATATTATTATTATTTTTTTATTTTTTTTAGAGTTTTATGCGTGGGACTTTTTCGTTTTNAATAATTATTTGGGTGTTAGTTTGATGATGATTTTTTCATTCTCTATTTTGGTTCCTTAATGTAATTGATGGGAGGTTATATGTATAAAAGAGGGTATTAATTTTATGATGGGTGATACTGTCTTGGAAACTTGTGGGTTGCAAATAAAATTTGCCGTAATGATGTGAGTGTAGGTTGTGATTTCATAAAAACAAGCTTGTTATTCTGGATTTGGTTCTGCTTTGAATTAGGTTTTCATAGGTTTATCAAGATAACTTGAGCTGGTCATCCTAAGTTGAGGGCATGAACCCAGTGATCATGAGGGACAACTCGCATACATATAACCTTTTATATAATATTTTTTGTGGGTACATGTTAGTTTACATGATATATAGACTTGCTCATACTTTAATAACTACTTATATTAAAACAAGAAGGTTCTTATGATAAAATTTCTCCTCTTTTAGTTTGTTTATGAAATCTACTTCCATGGGATGATGTCCTTGGGTATTTATTTATTTATTTTTTGTGCTACACATAATATTTTATAAGATTAAAATTTTCAGATTGTTGAGTGGTATAAAATTCTCAGTAATATTTTGTGCTAACATCATTGGAATTTTTTTAATTGTAGAGTTGCTGAATAACTTAAGATAGAAGAATGTTGGGAAATTCTCTATGAAAGTTGAGGTCGATGAAAAGAGTCATGCACTGCTAAATATTTCACAAATTCAATTTGGCGTTCATGAAGAGTCCTCTTCTATTTGCAAGTGTCGATGCTTACAATAATCACCAAAACATGTATTGTGGCAGGTTTCGAGATTATTCGGCCCTTAGATTACGAATTCTGGGAACTCAATCGGGTTCGGATGGCCTCATTGCAACATATGTACAATTTGCACTACGGTTTTAGAAGCCAGGTGATTGTTTTGACTCAATCAATTTTTTCCTTTTTACACATTTGGCTTATGGCTATGAAAAGCAAATCATTTATATGTGGCATTGCAAATAAATAACATTGTTTCTATGTGCCAAGTATATTTCTCAAGTTATCTTGATTATTTGACAGTTTCACGTTGACAGAGCATTTCGATTAACAGCAGATATTACATTACAGTTCAAGTATTTTAAACCAAATCTAAATTGTATTGTTTTTGTGTGATACTGTCTCAATCACTCTTCAACCAAAAAAACATGTTAATTACCAGGCTGACAATTTTCATCGTGATAGGCCCGAAGACGAAAAATCATCACCATCAAGCTTAAAAATGGTATCCATAGCTATTAAATGTTCCCAGAGTGTCTTTGCAACTGATCGTTACAAATTTTTAACTTCCATCAATTTATTTTTATGATTGATACTTTTTGCTTTTCTAGCTTGGCGAAGCAAACTTATGCTTCAAAATGGAATATATGGACTTAATGATACTGTGGTTTGTTTATGTTATATGAAACATATATATCGATTGGCCTCATATTTGTTTATAATTCGAGTTTCTTCTTTCTCGCTCTTGCTACCATGTTGCTTAAATTTGAGGCATAATTATAGCTGAAACTATGGCTAGCTGTACGTGCACAGCCAGAACTATCAAGTTTAGCCAAACCAATAACNNAAAAAAAAATGTTGTACTAGACATGAATACACAACTTTGTAGTGCTTTTTCACTGGATTGGTGAGTAAATATTAATCTTTTGCTTTTGAACATGTCTGCTCAAATATTGTGTTCTAACAATAAGATTTTATTTACGCTTTTATAAATTCATAGATATCTCATTATATTATTGTATTGTTTAGTTCCTTATATATTGTTCTTAAGTTATTTGAAAGTACATTTCTACATGCCCAAAAAAATGAGTATGTGTATTTTTAAATATTGACAAATATTGATTATAATTATAGACTGGACTAGAGCTGGCTGTGCGTGCACAGCCATCCGGCCAACTAGTATTAAATATAGATTACAAAACCCCAGGGTTAAGATCTGACCAAAATTACAGAAGAACAAAAAAAAAGCCATTGGGGATTAGTGAAGGAAATTGTAATTATTTGAAAGGTTGAAACTAGGCATCACCAATGAAATTTCATTTCATGTATTGTAGAGGGAGATCAAGGAGGAGGACGAGGAGCTGTGTGGGCTTCGGGAAGAGATATACGAGGCTGTGACCACGGCCTTGATGGAGATGCAAGAGTACAACCCGAGCGGCGGTTATGTGGTACCTGAGCTGTGGAACTTCAAGGAGAACTGCAAGGCCACGCTCAAGGAGGTCATCACCTACATCTACAATCAGATCTAAACCCGCAAGTGCAGGAGGACTTGAAAATGCTCTTGTTGTCTTCTTATTTGTAAAGACCTGTNCATTTGGGCCACAACAATAACAATAGCAATTACCTCATTGTTATCCACTTATTTTTAATTAATATTATAATTTATATATTTATTCGTATTTTAAAATAAAACTTTATTTATTAATTTTATTAATTTAAAATATAGTTAACACTTTTTAAGTGGTAGGTATAGGTATTAGGTAATTCTATTTGGTAGTCAAAATTTGTATGACAAAAAGAAAACAAACTATGCGTGAGAAAAATTTTCATTTGCAGATTGGATTTAATTCTATTTTATCAAGATATTTCACATTTTGTCATAAAAAATACATCAAATTCAATATACATTTTAATCCCTATAATTTCTTACAAGAATAACTCATTCTTTGAATATAAAATATACAGATAAACATACAACAAACTTTTTTCCACTCTTAATATAATTAATCAAAATCACAGCATGTAAAAAGAAAAAAAGTTCAACACAAAGCTTCATATAATTCAACATATAACATGTGATATCATTTCTCAAATTGTAATTGTAGAATTAATGACATCCCTTATCTCATATAAAAAACTATTTACATTAATGAATCCGTATATTATTAAGCCAAAACTAGATTTTTGGTTTCCTTTTTTCACGCCTTTTTTATGCATGGCAAAAAAGTATCAACTAATTTATTAACTGTCCCCACATCTTTCTCCCTCTTTCTTCAATCTTTCTCCTATTTTTTCTGTCTTTCTTTTATCTTTTATGAATTACATCTCTTCTTCTTCTTCTCTTCTTTTTCTTTTCTTCTCTCCCTTTCCTCTCTCGAGATTTCTAATGTTTAAAGAAAATTATCGCAAAATTAACAGAAAAATCCTTCGTTTCGTGACTCAATCCCCATTCCCTGAATTTCTATAACAGAAGTTCATTCTTAATTCGTTTTTGTGGTAACCGACTGTTGAGAGTGGCGGGCACCGGCGACTGTTATTAGATCGGAGCCGAGGTTCACCGTTGAAATGTGACGTGTTGCTTCGGATCTGTGTGACCCATCAACGGTGGCTCGTGCGGCGACCAAAAATTGATAGCGAATTGAGTTTGTGGGACGGACCTCTGGACAAAAAGGGGTTGTTTCTATTCGGAGCAAACTCATTCAACTTGCGGGTTTCAAGTCAAATCATGACGAATGAAGCGTTTGAACCGCACCTTCAGTGGTGGTTTGATGTTCTTAAATATGACGGATGAAGCGTTTGGGCTCTTCTATACTATCATTCGTAAGAAATTGTTGCCGTAACATAATACTAATTGTTGTGAAACGAGGACAATACGAATTAAAGACGAGAAAGTAAATGACACAAGATTTACGTGGTTCGGCAATTTGCCTACGTCCACGGCGGAGCAGAGATCTTATTATTCACTCGTTATCCCAAATACATCAATATACAATGTATTTATATCATAACCTTACAAGGTATAAATTTACATAAATACTCCGTACCGTACCGCGGGGGCTCCGCCCCCGCACCCCCGGCCCAGCTAAACGACCCAGCCCAACAAAGCTCCGCTCCGCTCGCAAGCATCGGCCTGCCTCTTTCCTTTGTCAATATATGAGCCATATCAACAAATCTCCACCTTGGCGAATATATCACTTCCTTAGGAGAATACAATAGCGAGCAACTATGCGAGACACACCAAGCAGGCCGGGGGTACCATGCAACTCTAGCATGCAGAAACATTCAACAAATCCAAACAATGTTTGAATTTGTCATAAGTAACAGTCTTAGTCAACATATCAGCAGCATTCTCTTCAGTACAAACTTTCTCCAACTGAATATCCCCAGAAGCAATCCATTCCCTAATCTTGTGGAACCTCACATCAATATACTTCGTCCTAGCATGATATACTTGATTCTTAGCCAAATGAATAGCACTCTGACTGTCACAATATAATAGAACTCCACCTTGCTGAATACCCAACTCTCTAACCAATCCAGCAAGCCACACTGCTTCCTTTGCCGCTTCAGCCAAAGCAATATACTTAGCTTCAGTTGTAGATAGAGCAACTATAGGCTGAGTATGCGACCTCCAACAAATGGGCCCTCCACCAAAAGTGAAAACATGCCCAGTGGTAGATCTCCTACTATCCAAGTCCCCAGCATAATTAGAATCCACATATCCTACAACCAAGGGATCCAACTGCTGATCTCCAAACACAATACCATGTCCCACAGTGCCTTTCAAATATCTGAAAATCCATTTAACTGCCTCCCAATGCTGTTTACCCGGCCTAGACATGTACTTGCAAACTTGACCAACAGCATGAGCTAAATCAGGACGAGTACATACCATGGCATACATCAAACATCCAACAGCACTGGCATAAGGTATCTCCACCATATCCTGAGTCTCCTTGTCCGACTTGGGGCACTGATGAACAGAAAGCTTGAAGTGGTTTGCTAATGGAGTGCCCACCAGTTTGGCTTCATTCATCCCAAACCTCTGTAGCACCTTTTCCACATAACCCTTCTGAGATAACCACAGTTTCTTTGATCCTCTATCCCTGTGAATCTCCATCCCAAGAATCTTCTTTGCAGCCCCCAAATCCTTCATCTCAAATTCCTGACTCAAAAGCCTTTTCAGATCAACAATATCACGCATATTCTTAGCAGCAACAAGCATGTCATCAACATAGAGTAACAAAAAAATAATGGAACCATCACCAAGGCTCTTAGTGTAAACACAACAGTCAAACTCACAACGCTTGTAGCCAATCTTCGTCATATACGAATCAAACCATATATTTCATTGCCGCGATGCTTGCTTCAAGCCATACATGGATTTCTTCAATCTGCAAAATAAATGCTCCTTTCCTGGTTGAACAAAACCCTCTGGCTGCTGCATGTAAATAGGCTCTGCGAGATCACCATGCAAGAAAGCAGTCTTAACATCCAGCTGCTCTAAATGCAAATCCCAACTAGCCACCAATGCAAGCACAGCCCTGATCGAAGTATGTCTAACCACAGGGGAAAATGTCTCATCATAGTCAATCCCCTTTTGCTGTGAGTATCCTTTGGCCACCAACCGAGCCTTGAACCTTTCCCCTCATTTTTCTGTTACCGATGACTTCCTTGTGTAAATCCACCTGCAACCAATGGCTTTCTTCCCGTTTGGAAGAACATCCAACTCCCATGTCTGATTCTTATGCACAGAATTCATCTCTTCTTCCATGGCACCCTTCCATCTATCACTATTTCCACACGAAACAGCCTCCTGGAAAGTCTCAGGATCGACACTAGTGATCGTGAGGGCAAATGCCACCATATCCTCATAACCAAATCGGACCGGAGCTTGTATATTGGTACGCCTCACTCTATCCCGGGCTAACTTGTAGCTCTCTGACATATCAGTTGTGCCAGAAACATCATGATCAACATCATCAGGTGCAGAAGTCGAACTATCTCCCTTATCAAGAACTGCTGGAACATGTTCCAACTCCACTTGGACCTTTTCTGCATCTGATCCCAACATAGACTGTTCATCAAACACTGCATCTCTACTAATCACTGTCTTCTTCTCAACTGGATCCCAAAACTTGTATCCCTTCACACCTTTCTTATAGCCCATAAAAATGCACTTCTTTGATTTAGCATCCAGTTTTGACCTCTCATCAGCAGGAACATGAACATAAGCAGGACAACCAAAAATCTTCAGATGATCAAAACTAACATCATTACCTGTCCACACTTCTTCTGCAACTTTGCCATCCAGAGATGCACGTGGTGATCTGTTAATCAAATAACAAGCCATACTTACAGCCTCAGCCCAGAAACTCTTCGACAATCCCGCATTCAGTCTTAAACACCTCGCCCTCTCAGCCAGTGTCCGATTCATCCTCTCAGCAACACCATTCTGCTGTGGTGTTTTACGCACTGTAAAATGCCTTTGAATCCCATGCTCCTCACAGAACTTCTGGAACTGTGAATCGGTGTATTCTGTACCATTATCAGACCTTAAGTACTTGATCTTCCTACCAGTCTGGTTCTCCACCTCAGCCTTCCATAGCTTGAATTTAGCAAAAACTTCAGATTTCTGCTTCATGAAATACACCCAAACCTTCTTCGAAAAATCATCAATAAAGGTCACATAGTACACAGAACCACCCATCGATGTCACTTTAGTAGGACCCCACACATCTGAATGTATATAATCCAGAATTCCTTTTGTCTTCTTCTTGCCAGTCTTGAAACTGACTTTTGTCTGTTTTCCCAGAACACAAAACTTGCAGAAATTGAGTTTGCAAGTTTTAACACCATGCAGAAGCCCCCTCTTATGCAGTTCAGTCATGCCATGTTCACTAAGATGCCCAAGTCGCATGTGCCACAATTTCGTGCTATCTTCACACGACTCCACCGAATGAACTCCACCTACAACTGTACTTCCCAACAGTTTGTAAATGTTCCCTGCAGTGATCCTCCCCTTCATCACAGTCAAAGCACCCTTCACAATCTTAATGGTTTCCCTATCCTCATCAGCCTTGGGAATGAAACCATTTCTATGCAAAGTGCCCAAAGAAATCAAATTCTTCTTCAACTCAGGGATATGTCTCACATCACATAATGTCCTAACAGTTCCATCATACATCTTGATTTTGACATCCCCAATACCGACAATACCGCAGCATCTATCATCACCAAGAAAAACAGAACCCGAGTTACCTGGTTTATAAGTAGCAAACCACTCTCTGTTAGGCGTTATATGATATGAACATCCAGAATCGAGAATCCAAGCATCATCATATTGCGCAGTCGAAATAGATAACATATCTCCATCACTGCAATCGGATTCCTCATTCTGTACCACATTCGCAGACTTAGACGACTCAACAGTCTGTTTCTTCCAGTTTGGGCAATCCCGTTTGAAGTGCCCCTTTTCCTTGCACTTATAACACGTCACAGTTTTCTTTCCCTGCGATTTGTCTCGCGACTTGGATCTGAAATTCCGATCTCCTGAATTCTCCCGCCCCTGTTTTCTTCCACGATCCTGGTTACCCTT